AAAAAAAAAAAAAAAAAGGAATGACTTTGGCTGATGATGTCAACTTGGAAGAATTTGTTATGACCAAGGATGAGTTTTCAGGAGCTGATATCAAGGCAATATGTACTGAAGCTGGATTACTCGCTTTAAGAGAGCGGCGTATGAAGGTGAGACGTAAAAATGGGTAATCAGTTTGATTTATATTTCATGACGGGTAGGCATGCTCTAATATACGTCTAAAAAGGGGCCGAGGGGAAGAAGGGGTTGCTAGTTTGATTCAATTTCAGATAACTTCTTTTCTTTCGTTAGTATGACATGTCTATTTCGAGGCACATAGTTCTGGGTTAGCAAAACCCACTTGAAATGAAGGGCTCTTACTTTATTATAATTTAAAGCTTTGTGGAGTGGAGAGATGGAGTTTGAGCTTATTTTCCCCTGAACAAGTGCATCCTCCATCTTAAGTTATGGTCTTATGTGCCGAATAAGTGCATAGTCCATTTTATTGTACTCATGCAGTTAGAAGAATTGTGAAGATGGCCCGGAAAGATGAGGTTTATTGGACAAGGAAATATAGACATTGCAATTGATTCTTTAACATGTTCAGGATGTTGAAAAATGGAGAATATATTTGAGTTTTTTATACTTACCTAAATTGAACCATTAATTTTCTTTGGCATATTGACTGTTTAGACTTCGTCAGCTTTGTGCTCTGTATATAAAATCCTTAACTTTTAAAAAAATCTTTGGCATATTGTATGTCTAGTCTGGAAAAGTAAAGATTATGAGGAAGAGAAGATCAAATATCTAATTATAGTTAAATTGCCGTACTGTTCTTTACTAAGGAAAAATATATTAAAAAGATATACATTTTTAAATTTCCTGATCATACTCATGTCTTGTGGCCTACTGTTTGATTGCATTCTTTCGCTTCGGTTTTCTTAAATATCTTGTTGTTGTTACCTCTTGTTGTCTCTTTAGCCGAGGGTCTATCGAAAACAACCTCTCTGCCCTCCCAGGGTAGGGGTAAGGTCTGCGTACACACTACTCTCCCCAGACCCCACTTGTGGGAACTCACTGGGTTTGTTGTTGTTGTTGTTGTTGTTGTTGTGTTTCCATAGTCTTGTACCGTGAGGTGATCTGCTAAGTTTTGTGCACCAGTTGTTCCTCACACCATGTTTAGCATTAATCACTGATTTCCACAAACCATGGTCCTCCAAATTATATTCCAATGCCATTTCATTAGGAATTGGGAATAATGACATGAAGTAAGTAGGAATACTATCCAACACATTGTTAATAAGCGTTAATCTAC